ATAAGTCCGGTCGCGGTCGCTTGAAGAGAGACTTTTTAAAATGTTGCAGATTTTGATTTTTTTTATCGAAAGCGTTAAGATTGAATGTTGTTGCAATCGATAGTTAATATCCTTTTTCCAAGACAGACGGACTTCCATATTCTCCCCTCAGAAGAGTGCAAGAGATCGCTATACTGAGTCAAAGTGACAAATTTTTTCTGAAAAACAATCGATACCGACGAGAATGAATTTTTGTCTACTTACTTAATTTTGATATTGATTATCGAGAAATGATTCCCATATTTCTCTTTTAGATGGTCATAAAGGCAGCCATACCTACCCGAACATACAATTTATACAATTTTTTAATACAATTTTCTTACTTCATGTAAATCCTTCTTCTGAGGAGTATAGAAATTCGCCTATCTTAGACTAAGAATATTAATTATCGATTACAACAACATTCAACCTTGACGCTTTTAATAACAAAATCAAAATCTACAATTTTGGAAAGCCTACTTCTCCTTCAAATGATCGCGATCGGGCTTAAATATATATATATTTCATTAAATATATATATATATTCATATTTGTCGCTATGAGTAACAAAATCACTACAGTGGCCTCTTGATCTATTTGTATTTGATTAAAATACATTATTTCATATATTATCAAACGTTAGTTTTTAAATAATATATGCTCTAAATATTAAATAAAAAAGATTATATTTATCAGCCTTGAAAATTTTTCTTTAAATTTTTCATATTATTTTTCAGGGTTTCTATATAAATTTTATTCTTCAAAATAGTATTCTTCAAAATTTCTTAGATTTTTAAATATAAATTGAACATTTAAAAATATATTGCAAAAGTCTATATCTCTCTTAAAATTTTTTTATATATGCGAATTCTGAAATTATATATATGTATTATATATTTTAAGACTTCTTATTCTATTATATTTCTGAAGAAAATTTACAAAATTTAAAAGTCAGTTTTCAAATAATAAAAAAATATATATATATATGAAATATTTTTAGAAATATTAAAGTTTTTATTAATCTACAATGTGCTCTTTGTTTCCTGTTTCTTGCTTTTTATCATTTTTTATTTTTTGCCTTTATGTCTCCTACTCAGTTTTTTCGTTTTCTGTAACCAAAATAAAAGTAGAGGAACTTCAAGAGTTAAGTATAAAAAGAAATGCGATTGCCGATAAAATGATCACAAAGAAGGTAAAAAAACAAGAGGTAAAAAACAAGAAACAGAAAGCAAAAAATACATTGTAGATTAAGCTTAAAAGATAGTCTTAGGAATGTCTCTCTTGTGTGAAAGTTAACTGTTTGACCTGAAATCATGTACTTCCATTCGATATCTTCCATTTCAACTCTTGGTCAAGAAAATACCTATTCATCAATTTTCGAAGGAAAAATTCCTTTTATCTGGATTCATGTCCTAATAAGTTTCTAACAATGTGTTTAATTTTAATCTCGGTTCAACTTACTTTTCTTATTCTATAAGAAATAGGAAAAGATGAAGAATAAGTTGAACCAAGATTAAAGTTAATCTACATTAAAACGGGTATCAGTTGAGTTTATCGTTGTCTAGAATCGCGTTTATCCTCAGAGAGATCTCATCCCTCGAGATCTCTCAATGCGATCTTCGCTGTATCCTCGGGGGTGGTATTCCTACGTAGTTGCAGGGTCGGCTGTCGTGGCGTTCTCGGGGCGAGGTTTCCTAGGATTTCAGGCGGCGATGGGGAGGTGGCGAGATGGGAGGGTGGATGATAGGAGAGGGTGCAGGGTGGTACGTGCAGAGCGGCCCTTCCGACCCCTCGCGGCGTACGGCGGTACGTACCGTAGGAGAATCGATCTAAAACTAGGAGTCGCCGCAGTAATTGCTGGGAGGAAGCCAGTGTTACAATTCGCGAGGGCCTCTGTCGTATGCGCCAGTGAAATCTTAAATACACGCCTGTTAATCGCACGTACGCACAGCACGGCACGGTCGTCAGGCCAGGTACGTCCACATCGACGGACGTACGTACGTCGCCGTAACCCCTCCTCGTCGCTCCTCGCCGTTCAATCGCCCTCTCTCTTCCACTGTCTAGCCTGTCCTGGTGGTACGGCAGCACAGGGGCGGCCGGCCGGGGGCGGCCGTGCTTTAATTGCGAGATACATATAACGGAGGGTGTTGTGCATCCTCGCTCTCGTCTACCTCGCGTACGTGCGTACGTACGTTCGAGCGAGACGGAGTGAGGCGCGGCGCCGCGGGTGCGACAAGAACGGCGAGGAGCAACCGCACGAAGAAAAGAAGATTCCACGGTCTGTCATCAGTGATACAAGTCAACCAGCTAGCCAACTAGTAGCTACTACAGCTCGCCGTTATCCGGCCAGTGAGAGTCCAACCAAGTAGACACCTAAACGGCCGGCTAAGCAAAGTGTCGCGCCCGTTAAGAAGAAAAAAAGAAGAAAGAGAAGGAGAAGAGAGAAACAGAGACGGTGTGTGAAGAGAGAGAGAGAGAAGACAGAGAGAGAGAGAGAGAGAGAGAGAGAGAGAGAGAGAGAGAGAGAGAGAGAGAGAGAATCTTGCGAGGGTGTACGCACGAGCAAGCTGGGCGGACAGCAGCGCGACCAGAGAGCAGCATCCTCCGATATATAATGCGACGTGCAACCTTCTTCACTTTCGCCTTAGTGGTCGTTCCTTCAGAATAAAGCCGCGAGTTTGCTGCTGGGACGGTTCCTTACCTGCAGGGCTATGACGTAATGGCAAGAGAGGTACGCATTTCCTTCCGGCAGCTTCTTTTCTCACGCGCATGCAGCATCCACCCTGCAAATCACTTCTGCAATGGAGGAAGGGAGAGGAAAGGAGAATTGCTACTTATTTGTATCGTGAATGAGAGAAATCATTGATGTCGTGAGAGTTTTCTCTCCGCGGAGAGGACGCCTCTCAATGACCTATTTTCACGTGACCTCGTGACACCCGACGATCGGTCCTCAGTTTGCCTCCTCCCCCCAAAGTGCATCACCCTTTTGACAAGGCCGAAGGGACAAGCCCTTTAGACTGCTCCTTCCTTCTCGATAGATATGCATTTCTCCATAAAGAAATGTTTACGCGAATGTTCCACTTTTTCGCTCATAAAATCGCGCTTCATTTCGCTTTTTCGGGACATCTCTGTGTGCTTGCGAGATTGCCTTTTCTGAAACCTCCCGATTGCAGGATTCTATTTGCTTGAAGTATCCTTCGCGATTAATCCTTGCCATAACTTTGAACTTCTGCTTTCGTAAGGATTTATTTCGCTTTATTGAATTATGTCGTGTGTATACTTAGAATTCTATCTTGATTAAGATACCGAGAGGATTACATTTCTCGATTCCTGAAATTCCTAAACATTCGCACTATTGTAATGGATACGGTTTTTCTTCATTTGTAATATGAAAGCACATAGTTGTAGATACTGCTGTTGTCCTAGTTTGTGGATATGTTCAGTATGATTCAAGTCGTTTATCACAATCCACGATTTCTAAAGGGAATAATAAATAAAAAGGAAACATATTCGAACGTATCTTTTAATAAATAGAGAATCGGATCTGGAATATTTAAGATTTTTTTTTATTTATAATTCATATTTTCTTTTGTTGTAGAGTAGCATTTCATCATGATTCTTTGTGTTAATTAGTAATAATTCTTTCTATTGGCATACTCTTTG